CAGTCGTCCTAGGGTGGGGTCCCAGCACCTTCCTTCCTCCCAGAGTGCCACCTTGGAGCAGGCGTCCGGTCCTTTTCCTTTTTTTATTTTTAATTTATGAATAAATAATTGCTTGGGTGGAGAATAAATCAGACAGCTCTCTCTCTGGGTGAGCGTTACCTCTGCTTGCACCCAGCCTGGCAGCCCCCTCCCTGTTGTAAAAGTAGATGGAACAAAAGTGTTGTCGTGCTGGGCACGTGCCAGCATGGAGATGCTTTTATTGGCGTCCAAAAAGCTAACAGCAAAGCTTCTCCTGACCTGGTTGCATCCACCCAGAGATGTGTGGGTGAGTCAGAGGAGGTCAGGAGCAGCTTGGGATGCCAGAAGCTTGGGCAGGGACTTGCTGTGCGTTTTGTGTCGCATAGCCTTTCCCCTGGTCACCTCTCTGCTTGCACAGCAACAACCTTCTCATCTCACTGGGTGCGAGGTGCTGCTTATGCCGCTGAAATTTGTCACAGGCTCTGTGTACCCCATAGCCAACCCCAACAAGAACAGGTCTCTCTGGAACCTGGGCAAGCTCCTAAAGCTCTAGCACAGCCACCTGCCAGACTGGAGCTGTGGCTGCGGGTTGTCTGGGGTTTGATCCCACTGCAGCTTTGTGGGTCACACCGTATTTGGGCCTTGCGTTCCAGCTCGTTGCGTGATCCTGTGCAGAGGAATGGGAGGCTCGTCTTGAATCTCAATCATTGCAGTAGGGTTTTAGATCTATTTTTGCAGTTCTGCTTAAACTTTCGTATCACACGATGGGTTCTCAGGGAGTTGTGTCTAAATCTAGAAGCAATCTGGTTTTTGTTTTTGTTTTTTTAACACCGCTCCAATCAATTTTGGGTTAAGCTCTTTGCTGCGTTAGTCTTCAGCTTCAGGAGCCATGACAAACACATGATGTCATCAGTTGTGTGCTATCACATGCTTTTAAAATGCCGTCAGACTCGCTAAATATTCAGCGTGTAGTTTCTGTCTCAGCAGACTGTGTTGGCTGAAACTGCTTATGCAAATGAAAAGCTGTACCTCTTCAATAGGTTATTATGAGCTGATCCTGAATAATTGGTGTTGAGCTTGAGCAGTAGGTGGGAGAAGTCAGCAGAGGCAATAATTAATCAAGTGGCTTCACGTCTAGCTTGGATGTGGATCCTAGAAACCCTTCTCTGAAGACAGGACGAGCTCCTTGGAGCCCTGTGTGTGTGCCTAACCACTGCAAAGTCCTGGCAAGGACATCTCCCCTATGCACAGCTCCAGCTCGGTGAAAAATTCATTTAGGTTTTGCCCAGCGATTCCCAAGGGAAGGCTGTCAGAAAGTCTTTCTGCTCTGAGCCTCTTAGTGTGTATTTCTAAATTCCAGCCTATATTAATTCACGGCTGCTTTGTTCCCATTTGTTCTTCGACTGAATTGGCTCCTTTTCACCCTCGCTTCCTCCCTCTCGCTCTCTGTATATTTCTAGACCACGTCTCTTCTTGGCTTTTCTTTTGCTAGACTAAGTTTGCTCAGCCTTTCATGTCCTCTCAAAAGACAAAGCTCTCTGTTTCCTATATCGCCCCTTTTATTCCACCTCTTTCCAATCTGAACCGGACCCAACCACCTAAATCACAACTCTTTCCATGGAGCCTGAGCAAGGGAGAGCAAAGAGCCTGCTTTCCAGCCACGAGGATCAAGCCCCAAAGGGGCATCAGCAGCACTGCCAAGAACCAGGCAGCAAAGAGCTCGCTTTCAGGCAAGTTCTCTGATAAAGGAAGACTTTTTCCTGTTATAAAGCAGGGTATATGCAAAAAAATGTAGGATTGATTTATCTCAGTGGCCTATTAAGAGTTAATCGATAAAATAACAATTGCCACCTTATTACGAGAAACTAGCTGATTAGAAACTTGATTAATGGGATGATTTTTCATGACTATAATTAAAGCACTGCATGGCTTCTCTTGTAATTGATATTTAATGCTTACATGGAAAGCTGTTTGTCTATGAGAAACAGATCCTTTTGTGTTTTTGTTTTTGTTTTGTTTAATTCCAGTGATTCACCTGTGGATCAGGCATAGGAGGCTGACAGCTCCAGTAATAGGGAAGAAGGGAGAAGATGGGATGCAATTGGCCAGGAGCAAAAAGCAGCCTTTTCATTCCTAGAGAAGTGGGAAAAGATTGATGTTTCATAGCTAATTTCCAGGAGAGTGATGAGTGGGAGACAGCTTTTTCTCATGGCAAAGGTCTTGCTGGTCCAACCTGCGAAGATCAACAGCAAATCCAAGCCAGACATGAGATCCCAACTGCTACCAGAAGTAGGTACAAGGAGGACTCTGCCTCTCCAGCCAGGCAGATTCCATCTCTTGGACACTAGGAAGCTGTACATGGTAGCAGATGGTGAAAAATCAGAGAAAACATGGAAAAAGGGCCATGGTGCTGCTGCTTGCATCTTGCTCCAGCTCTAGCACTGATGCTGGAGAATCATCCCCAGCCAGAAGTGGTACCTCTGTGTTTAACTGTCCTGGAGGAACTTCTTTTACAGTCTTTGTCCATAAAATTTTGGACCAGTTCCCGAGAGGCAGTGTGATCTCTGCTGTGCTGGATGCTGTCTCTGAGAGCTCTGCTCCAGACCAGTCAGTTTGTGTTCCCAGGGCTTCCATAATGTCAGCCTCCTTCCCTGGCCTTGGTATTTGTTAATTCTTCATCTAAAGCTGATGCATTGGATCTTGTACCTTGCCGTGCTCATGCCTGGTGTGGGAAAGGCCTGATCCAAAACCTGTGCCAGCTTCTGTGCCAACATTAGCTGCTTTTGGGCAGGCATGAAGGACGTAGGTATATGATGGAGATACAGAGCTATGCCAAGTGTTTGCATACAAGCTTTCAGACCGTAATTCATAACGCGTTATATGATCTAAATTAAATTCCTGGGACACGCTCTGTGCATTTTCTCCAGCAAAGAGAAGCGGTTGAGTAGCAGCCGCCATGTTCTGTCCCCTTTAATTAGCAGCATTAAACCAGATTTTCTCCCTTCTTCTCAATGCAGAGAAATGGTAAGTGGCCTTGCTGGCGTATGAACACGAGGCTCGCTCCTCCGCAGCAGCAAGTCTCTGAGTCCCCATGCACCCTCAGCCCCAGCCAAGCAAGGGTGGCAGCTGTGATAGCAGATGGGAGGTGGGCCAAGGTCATACAGGAAGGCTGTGGGCGCTGTTCCAGCCCTCAGTCTGGAGTCTGCCGTGCAGGGAGGTCACATTCAGCCCCGTCCCCCATTGAGTGCAGGGCTCTTCTCATCTGCATCATTCTGCCCGTTGCTGTCAGGGCGGTGGCTTGCTTGGGGTACGTGTGTGTGTGCATGCAGTGAGTGTCACACCACCCCGAGCAAATCTGCAAATCTAATAACAATCAAAGCCGTCGCTGATGCATTATTAAAATTCTGGGTTGTTTTTCTTTCTTGCAAGCAAGAAAACGGAGTATTTGGAGGTGGGTAGTTTGGTGTTAAATTGTGTTTATTGCACGTCTGTTGAATATATAACACGTCTGCGTGACCTCCCCGAAGAGTTAGACAAGCCTTTGCACAACATAATAATTCTCAAACCCTTAGAAATGCATACAAACGCCCTGGTGCAATGACAGGAATTCAGACCTCACATGCTGGGTTGACGGATGCTGGGGGGCAGCAGCTGCCCAGATCCATTGAAGTCGTCTCTGACTGTACTGTCCAGGAGCAAATTGTTAATGCTGTCTGAGGAGTGGCGGAAGAATCAGCGGTAGGTTTTAGGGCTGATCTCTTCTGAGAGAGATGCGCTGGAAACTCTTGATGGCACCAGCCAGTCTGCAGGCTCTTTTGCCTTGTAATCAGCCAAACAAGTAAGAAATCTTCATCATAGAAAGTTTCCTTGTCAGTTTTATTTTTGAAAGGAACGCAAGGGAATGTGTGGAGCGTGCCAGATCTGATTTGTTAGGATTCCGTTAAGGATTCATTAAGGGAGCACACACAACTTTTTGTGTCTTACCTTTAAAACACAAATGGTTTTTTACTTTGGCTTGAGATGACGTTTGTTCTTTAAAAAATTAGCTGAGCCTCTCCCAAATGTGATCCCAAAGCATTGGTTCAGAGTGCTGGCTTTTGGTGGAATATACCTCATTTCCTCTGTGTGAGTTAGGAGATGGCAGAACGTTTCAGGGTTACGGTGATTGATTCAGAAAGGAGGGTAATTCCAACATGTGTGTTTGTGGGGATGTGGGGGCAATTCTCTTTTCCCAATAACTTCTACAGCTCTTTCATGGGCAAATGGGGTGGGCAGCTTTACTTTCTGTACCTGTATATAGCACTCAGTTAACCCTGATGTTAGAACATGTTGAAGACCTCAGGGAGAGTTAGACCCCTTGGACTGAAATCAGTGGGAGTTAGTGGTGCAACTTTTGGCAAATTGGGTTTGCATATACCTGCAGTTATTTGGTTGCATCCATCATCTCTCCCTGCCTGACAGCTTGTGTTTACTGGAGTTGACTGACTGACAGCCCACTTCCATACCACGGAGTTTGCTCCTTGGCTAATCTTATTTGGATAGCTGGCAGATGGATGTGCTCTAGGTTGTCATTGCCTTTGTTTGCTTTGCTAATATCAGAAGAGTTTCACTAGTACTTACTCTGCAATTTGTTTTGACAAGATCAAAGTGCAGCTTGCTGTTGAAACAGGTCGGATTCCCACATCTCCCAAAGTTTGGCTTGGGAAGGCCAAAAAAAACCACCCCAGTTGGCTGAAATAGCCATAATATAACCCTGGTTGTATATGTATGTGCTGCCTGCAGCACGGGCTGTCGGTGTGTGCTGCCACATGCTGTGGGCACAGAGCTCTGCTCTGGTGTTGGCTGCTGTCTACCTGCAGGAGCTCTGGCTGCAGAAACCCGTGCAATGGAAAGCTTCACTGGTGCAAGCCTTCTGTCAGCTCTCAGCTAATGAACGATAAGAAGCAGGTTCAGAGGTCTCCCCAGAATACTTGCTGTGGGCTTGTGTCTCCCACAGAAACCTGGGGTGCTGCAGGTGGGCTGTGTCGCAGCAAGACTTTGGTGAGTAGTCTGCTGGCTGTCATATTTACTGATGTGGTCTCCTCGAGAATGTGCTGCTGCTGGGAGACGGAGTTGCTGAAGTCTTTTGAGGGAGAGCAGGAGGGAACAGAGAGCTTAGAAAGCTTTTACAAAGCAGGACCTGAAATCTGTCTCCAAGATGTGATCTGTGGTTCTTGCAGTGAGCTTCCTTGTGGCTCTTGCCTACCTGGATCATACGCCTCTTGTATTTCCCCCTTGTTTTTGAGTCTGTGGAGATGTTCAAGGCCAGGCTGGACCAGGCTCTGAGCAACCTGATCGAGCTGTGGTGTCCTTGTTCATTGCAGGGGCGATGCACTAGGAGACCTGTAAAGGTCCTTTCCAACTCTAAGGATTCTATGATTTTATAACACGAGTGTTCTGATCCAAAGTCAGTAGTTGGAGAGCTGACGTGGCCTGAACAAGTCATCCTGGGACTTGGATTACTGTTAGGTCATCATTTGCACGAAGCACTCCACGCATCCGCTTACATTTCCATGGCAAAACCAGGCTTTTCAGCCCTGTTGAGTTGCCAGTGCTCATGGCTGAGCTGTACCCACGTCTGTAATTCAGGAAAGCATGGATGCATTAGCTGCAATCAGCAATCAGGAGGAAATTCCTGGCTGATCACAAACAGGCAGGAGGGAAGAATAAATTAATTCTTAAAAAAATTTTAAAAATTAAAAAAAAAATGCAGCTACTTTTCATTTTCCAAAGTGCCCATTTTCTTAACTATCCCTCCAAATTATCATCTCATCGGATTTATTCTGTTTCCTTGATGTTGTTTTCTTCTGTTTATCCCACATCACTCAGCAAATGTCTCCCGTCTCCTTCCAGCCAACTTGCACAATACATTACAATTACATAATTACGCCATTGTAATCAAATAATTAAGTTGCACATTAAACACGCATTAGAGCTCACAAAGGAAGGAGCTTCAGACATGGGCACGGAATAGGAGGGAGCGAGCCAGTCAGCGTTGGCACTAATTGCATCCTGCTTTTAATGACTCAAGGACTCTCGGTTTTTGGTCTCAGGTGGCGAAATGGGAGTGGGTTGAGGCTGCTGAGTTTTAAATAAGCAAGCAGGTTTAGTGAGCAGACTCCCCTGTGGAGAGAAACAAGGCTCGGTGACCAAACACACATAGAAAAGAAAGGGAATAATTGCCAAGCCTGTTGCATTCAAGTCTATTGAAATCTGCTTTAATTGAGGCTCAGAATCGGCTCACCCAGGAGAAAAAGAACACCTGTCTGTTACCATCACAAGACTCAGCCACTCTAGTAGGAAAAAGGACGTGGTTTCTTTGGGGTGGGATCATTTCAGCAGTGGCAGAGGAAGAGTGAATGAGGCTGTATGAACCACGTGCGTTGTTTTCTTTTTCCTTTTAGCGTTGGTTGAGTTGGGTGATGCAGCACCAGTCAGACCCTGAGCTGTTGCCTGTCGCTGCTCACTGCATAGGCACGCGTGGAGGGGCTGGCTGGGATTTTCTGTTTAGATCCAGGATGCAAAAACTTGGGACCACTGTGCTTAATTCACACCCTGTAGGCTGAAATCTATGACAAAAGCTGGCCTCAGCTTAGCTGTGGCACTACCAAAAAGCAGAAATCTGGTCTCTGAAGACATTCTAGGTAACCCTTCCTCAGGCTCCTGTTTGACAACGGGACAGTAAAGCACCTCTGTCTCACAGGTGATGTATCCCATGGCTGGAAGTGGGCTGACTGTTTTCCAGCAGGTCACTGAGATGTTTTTTGGCCCTACGGAGCCATGTGCTGACTTCCCCTACATCTCCCCACAAGTGGTTGTGGTCTGGGGGAACGAGAGGTCAGATTCATCAAAATGGCAGCCGTGGTGGAAAGAATCTCTAGGGAATGAGGGCAAATGTGTGCCCAGTTTCATATACCAAGTTAAAAGGGGTGTGCTGGTTGGCTTTTGTGAGGAGCATCATGGGCCCCTCATAAAAACTTGGGTTAGTATGTCTCTGAGATGGTTTTTAATTTTTTTTAATAGGACCTTTAAAGTTGCAGCTAAAAGCCTTAAAATTAGTCTATGTAAGTGCACAGAGAGGGGGAAAGGGGTGTCTTCTGTTGCACGAGTAAGCATTAGATGTACTAAAGTTGTTGATAAATCAGGTAACAAAGGGCTGCAAAGCCTTGCAGTGACCTCAGGGACGATGTGCCAGTCGTTGGGCCTGTGGGAAATCTCAGTAGTTGAATGCTGCAAAAGCCAGCTGAGAAGCAAGAAGCAATGAAACACTGCAGAGCTCCATCAGGTAAACCATGCCTATCCCAGAGCCTTTCTGGGAAGGAAAAAGGACGCAGCAGTGTCTGCACTTGCGAAATGGAGAAGGTATGGTGGCTAAAGCATAGAAGTTCAAACTCTCCCACAGCCATAATTTTGCACGTTTTTTCCTTAAATCTTGAGGTAAAAAACAAAAAACAAAAAAAGTGACCCAAAGCAATTTTCACAAATCCCAACTTCAGGCACTTCACATACAGAGAAGTAAAAATTGCTGTGGATTAGATAAGAACTCCTCGCTCTATCAAATCCAATTTGCTTGGTTTCTATACCACATGCAGACACGACGAAATGCAAATGGTACAGATTAGGTAAGGTGGTATTTAAAAGGAGGAGGAAAAAAATGTCCAGCTATTGAAATAAGATGTGATTTGATTAGCAGAACCAAGGCTGAAAGCGGAGATCGAATGGGCTATAAACAATTTAAGGCTTGGGAGGAAGCCAGCACTGGCTGGGTATTCATTTATGGTCCAACGTGCTTGCTCTGTAATCCACTAGCAAAAAGCAAGCAAGAACGAGAAAATTGCTGGGTAGAGTAATCTTTCACACTGAGAGATCATCATGTCATCTTCAAAGATTTCTGAGCATCTCTATGTCCATCTAACATTGAGTATGTACTTAAAATACTGAAATACTGGAGCTGTATATTTCTTTAGCCATCCTACTCCTATTGGCCACACGTGTGTATTTTATTCATCTTACTTAAATCCTGTTCTTTTTATTGCATCCACATCCAGGCGAATCGTAGGAGATACAACTGTGAGTGAACTATCAGCGCACTTCATGGGGCTGTGGTTTAAGTCTGACTTTAAAGCAATGCTTCCAATCGTTTGGATCATCCAGCCATTGCATGGGGTCCTGGGCAACCTGGTCTAGTGTCAGATCTGGAGGTTGGTGGCCTTGCTGTGGCAGGGGGGTTGGAACTTGGGGATCCTTGGGGTCCCTTCCAACCCAAGCCGTTGTATGATCTGCTTGCTTCCTTCATTGAGCTCTTCCTGCAGTGTTGTTTTTCATGCTGTTACAGGGTTTACTTCAAATTTTTCGGGGGAAGGCTTTGCTGGAGAATTTTTCTGGGTGCTTGAATGTACTGCAGTGCTCTTTTGAGGTTTCCTGTGCTGCTGACTGGATAGGCATGCTGGGGGCTCTTACGAGAATCAGTATTTTCTTACAGCGCTGTTTCTGGGAATTGACTGTTTATATAGCTTGCATTAAAGGAAAAAAAAGAGCTTCTGAGAAAAAAGGCTGGGAGGTGAAAGTTGGATGTACTCTGAGGCTGGGAAATCAAGCCAGCACTCCCTCCCCAGCTTTTTGGATGCTGAATAGTGGGACTTCATTCCCCCCGAGTGACTCACCTAGGGGTAAATTAGGTGGGGTAAATACTGAAGCTGTCTGCAGGACCTTCCTGTTGAGTATTACTCACTCCTCTTTTCCTTCATTTTCTGGCAATATTGAAGGCTACATTTATCTTTTTGGAGTGACTACTTTTAAAAACATTTTGATTGTCAAAGGGGATGTTGTTTCCCAAGAACTTTTTTTTTTTTCTGGGAATGGTTTTGCTTAGCAGCATCTCCAGGTTTGAAATACCAAAATCCTTTGCAGAGCAGAATTCCTGTTTGCTTGAATGCATTTGATCCCCTTTGTAAATCTGTCCGGACGGTCATTTTTCTCCCCTGTTCTTTATTTTCCACCCTGATTTCTAACCTGTCTTCTAATTTGTTTTATGTTCCTGTCCTTCCCTTGGTGATGGCAACACCTCCTAATATAGCTTGGTCTGCCAATTCTATTATTTGCTCTTTACTTCTTTTTCCAGCTCGTTAATGTAGAGGTGACAAAAGATGGGTCTACCAGTGATCTCTGCCGAACCCCACCAGGTACATCTCCCCGAGCTGACAAGCTGCTGTTTATCATTTTGCTTGGTTTATGGTTCCTTACCCACTTTCTGAAGCACACAGCATCTCTCATGTCCAAGCAGATTTGAATGGGCGCCTCAGAATGATCTTTCATGGGTTGCTGCATCAAATGTCTTCCTAAACTTGAAATAGGGTTTTTCTACTCGGTTTGGCTCCGAGGTGGGGTAGGCAGGGAGGGGTTGGTGGGGACAAGCAGCATTTCTCTGCTGTATCCCAATCACAGAGAACAGGCTGTGCAGTTAGGGTGATAGCTGGGGCGCTGACAGGAGGTGCAGAGTGCAGGAACTGAAGGCCATTGAGCAAGCAAAGCAAGGAGCAGGGGTTATAGCACAGTGCTATTCACCCATCTCATCCCACAGGAGAGCTTCCTTTCGTGAGGGAACTGCTCTCTGACCACCTCGTGTCTTGCTGGGCCCTCACAGGGTGTGATGAGATGAGAGAAAGGCCGTGTATTTCCTACAACCAGGCTCAGAAAGACGTGTGCCCTGGCTTTCCTGCTCTCCCTTGGCTGGACAAGGCTTGGGCACCTCAATTCCTCAGCCTGGCCCTCCTCAGACCCATCAGGATATCCCAACGTGACTGAGCTCCCTTCGCTCATAAGCTGGCACAGGCAGGATTTACCTTCTGGCATCTGATTCTTTCTCCTTCCTCCCTGATTGGTTCCGTTAATTTATTGCAAGCAGGAGCTTGTTCTGCCAAGTACTAATTGCAAAGGTTATTGTTTCTGCCCTTTTGTAAGTGTGGCAGGAAGATCCTCAATTCCATGCCATGAAAAATGAGAAAAAGGCAAAAGTTTTTGGACTGGATGCAGACCCCTCCCATGCCGTGTTTGCACTGCAGAGCGTGTGCTGCCCTGTCACTGCCTTCCTGTTACAGGAGGGTGGTCAGAGGGCTGGAGCACCTCTCCTATGAGGATAGGCTGAGGGAACTGGGAAAAGAAGGCTCTGGGAAAACCTCACTGTGGCCTTCCAGTAGTGAAGAGAGCTTACAATCAGGAGGACTGACTTTTTACATGATCTGGTAGTGACAGGACGCGAGTGGAAGGCTTTAAATTAAAAGAGAGGAGATTTAGGTTAGATGTTAGGAAGAATTATTTTACTCAGAGGGTGGTGAAGCCTTGGCACAGGCTGTGGCTGGAGGCATTCAGGGCCACGATGGATGGGATACTGGGCAGCCTGATCTAGTGGGTGGCAACCCAGGCCATAGCAAGTGGGTTGGAACTAGGTGATCTTTAAGATCCTCTCCAACCTAAAGCCATTCTATGATCATGTTGGTGGTGTTTGAGTTGTTCTTGGATTAACTGAGTTGGCCACAGTCTTTTCCTGGTGGAGAGAAGCAGACACACTTTACCCTTTAGAACCATTCTGGAAGAGTTTTCCTCTTTTTTCCTGGTTGGATTTCCTGGATTTCTTGGGTGCAGTGGGTTTTCTCCAAAGCCAGGCATTTGCTTAACATGTGAGAAGGGGAACAGTTTCTTCTTGTCTGACTCTTCTCCAGAGCTGCCATTTGCTGCCAGAGCTCCAGCATCTGTCTGGATTTTAGGATGGGCAGAAGCCATCTAGCCCAAGTGCCTGGCATTGCAGTTCTGCTGCTGAAGGTGACAACCCCCTCTGGCAAAGCCCGGAGCCTTTCCAGTGGATTTCTATATTGCTGTAAAACTTGGCTTGGAAAACTTGGCTCTCCATGCTGGAAAACCAAATGTTGAAGCCCTTGAGGCTACAGCTGAGGAGTTCTTCCTCCTTTGCTTGACACTAGGAATTCAGAGCATGCACAAGGCTGTGCTTCCCTTGTGTTTTGTGTGGTGTCTATCCCTTGTGGTTCTGTATTTGCTCGCCCAGGCTTTGTTCCCACTGCAATATTTACTCTGGCTTGTTTCCTGTTTATCACATATCATGGCTGGAGTTTGTTTTTGTTCAGCAGCTCAGAAGCCTTTGGAAATTAGTGTTTATAAACAGAGGGATGTTTGGGACCGCATTTGGATCCACAGTAAATCAGCAAACGGCAGTGTTGTTTTATACAGATTACAGATATGACTTTGGACTGTTTCTTTTCTCCTTTGCCCTCTGTCCCGATATCCTTCTCAGTTGATCTGTTCTCCTGCATAAAGCTCAGACTTTCCCTTTAGTGCTGTCTTGCTGCTGGCACTCCCCACCCCTCACTGTGCAGATGTGCTCGTGGTAGCAGGTTAATGAAATATTTGGGCAGCATTTAGTTTCCACTGTACATCAAGTCTGGATGGCATCCGTGGACAACGCTTTTGTGCGAAGGAAGCACAGTTAAAATCTAGATTCTAAGGAGAGAAGAGCATATATCATATTTAAAGGAGATTTTGAGCTTACAGCATGAAGGAGAATTATATTTTATATCATAGCTTTAATAGTTGAGGAGCTGTATCTCAAAGTGCTTTATGAAGGGAGTTCAAGCAATGTGTAGGAAAACGTGCCAGCCATATGCGTAGCTGTATCTCACATGCAGTCTTGGAAATAATTTATTTTTATTGAAGGGATGAATTTGCCAGAACGTCAAGGTTGTCTTCTGCACTTTTGAAGAAGTGCCACGTTGTCTTTCATCTGCAAAGGCTGGTGACAGGAGGGCCTGCCTCACCAGCTATCTTCTCTTTCCAAACTGTGCCTGCATGTTGGTGAATGGAGGCCAGGCTCAGCATCAGCACGTGTGTGAATGAAGATTCACTTTTTCCTGTCAGGCTTCTTTCCTTCTGTTTATCCTTTCTTCTGCTGAGCCTCACAAACTTCAAGGCTAGGCTGGATGGGGCTGTAAGCAACCTGGGCTAGAGGGAGGTATCCCTGCCTAGAGCAGGGCATTGGAACCAGGTGATCTTAACCTTCCAACCCAAACCATTTGTGATTTTATGATGCTTGTATATCTGTTTTCTTCCTCAATCTTGGCTGGGTTTCCCTGTCCCTTGCGATGTGTTCTTTCCTTAGGCTTAATGCAAACACCTGGCCAGGACAAAAGTTTGATCCTACAAGAGCCAAGCAATGCAGCAGCTCCATCTCATTGGCCAGAAGATAAGCACTGCACGTGCAGATCTCCCAGATGTCCCAGGGCTTGGTCCAGGACCCTTCGTACACCCTCCGAAAGCCAGATGTAAGGGAAAGGCTGCTCCATGTGGTGCATTGAACACGTTTCGTTTTGTGGGCCTCAGATTGAGCAAAAAGGTTTGTAGTCCAAACATTATATTGCAAATAAATCTTTCTTACTTATCCAATTTGTGCGATATCCTATTATAGGGAAAAACAACTGTTATCTGCCTCGTAAAGGTTAATGTAATAATAAGCAGATACTGACTTCTATTGAGACTAACAAGATGATTTATTGACCCAAGAGGTAAATATGCAGTGAAGCAAGTCAGGGTCAATACTTATCATGAGGAGAATAAATTCTTGTGTTTTTTTTTTTTTATGATATGGAAACCATACAAAATGGTCACGACCGAAATGTCATCTGCTTTTGTGGTTACCATTTGCAAGACGACAGCTTGGTGTGGTAGATGACTGCCAAGTGCTTCACTTTGTACTTTCAGATGAAAAAGTCCATTTAAAAACATTTCTTTTTGATACTTCTAAATACCTAAGAGAGTGTTATTAAGAGCAAAAATACCTTCCTGAAGGTATCCAGACAAAAAACAACAACAACAACCAACAATAACAAGTCTCATGTGTTATAGTGGTTTTCAGTGGCTGGGTGTATTTCTTGGGTAACTGTTGTAATTTTATTGTGTTTTATTTTATTAGAGAAACATTCAGCTTCCAATTTATAAGCCTGGCAACTTTCAACCAAATTGGAGATTTTCTGTACACGTATTCATTTTGATTGCAAAGCCATTTTTCATTTAAGAAATGCTTCAACATAGAAATGTCAAGCATCTCTTGTAGTTACCATGGATAAAGACAGGCTCTGAATGTTGGCACCTGCTTCAGTGCTCTGTTCCTGAGCAGGATTATCTTTTTCAGACATCAGAATCAAGGGGAAAGGGTATAGCACTGTTGTCATCACCACATCAAGGCCCCTAAATCATCCCATGGGGAGATACTGGAAGAGTTCATGCTGTTGAGAAATGTTGGACAGATTGAGTAGCATGAGGAACCTCCTGGCAAGAGAGCTTTGATGTGTCCTGAAAGAGCAATACATTCACATAGGTTTTATCTGTTTTTTTCCCCAGGGCTGTCAGAGCAAGGCTGCAGGATGCGGGTTCTGACCTTCACACCCTTCTCTCTCCTGTTCTCATTGGTGATGTGTGGTGAGGGGAGGCTCCTGCAGCGCCTGCCCTGGGGTAAGGCATCGCAGTTTGTTCCTGTCCCTGCCTGCGAGGTCTGTACCGTTCCACATGGCCTTTTCTCTGGGAGAAAGCATGTGTTCAACGGCGTGAACTGACTCCACCGAGCTGCAGCCTGGCTGAGTAATGCAATCTTTCACCTCTCTCCTCAGAGAACAAAGGGACAGAAGTGCATTGACTACAGCTAGGGCATCCCATCCTGGTTTTGCTGCTGTAACGGGCCCCTCTGCTTCTGTCAGAAGGGTTTTGTGTGCAGAGAGATGTAGCAGATAGGCTGTGCTGCGAAGAGTAGCATTCCTTTACAAGCAAAGATGTGCTCTTTAGCTTGCCAGGCAGCGTGCTTGGAGCTCTGCTGCTTCCTCAAGGTGTCCACAAAACGTCGTCCTACAAGATGGCACCTACCAGCTGCTCTCACCTGGGTGGGAAATGTGGTTCATTTGCTGTGCTGGCCTTGTGCACAGTGAGGGGCACTGGTGGTGTGAATGGGAGAAACCATAAATGCAGTTAGAGTGGGGAGGGAGAGGAATTGCACCATCCGTTATCCAACTTGAGCAAAGTGACATGAACAGGGATATTATTTTAGAAAGTTTATCTCTTTAGTATCTATGGTGACAAGATGCTTATCGGAATAAGACAGACTCGCAGGCTGTCTGCTCCTTGTTATCTCAGTGTAGGATGACAGTATAAGTATCACGTCTAGAAATGTTATCTATCCTTTATTATTTCACTTGTGAGGGGCTAACAGGAGTGTTATCAGGGTGTTTACAATCAAAACACGTGCAGCTCAAGTGATAAAAAGGAGAACAGACATCTGATCTCCAAGGATATGAAGACAATACAGCCTTGAGCTGGAGGAGATGGATCTTATTGGAAATGGTTTGTCGGGCTGGGAATGGACAAGCAAGCCTGTGTGATTGCTCACATCATAAGCTTGAGAGATGGGATGGGGGAAATGCATGCATACGAGTGCACATACTCTCACAGAAAATGAAAAGGTGATCGTATCAACAGCACTCTCAGCTGAAAGAGAAATATTTTCCAATAATTTTGTTATGATTTTTTTTTTTCTGTACTCTCTTCTCACTTGGAGCGGTAATGTGGCAAGCTGTCAGGACCAGCAAGTGCCATAAAGTTGCTTGGAGCGAGTCTGAAGCTGAGAAAGCTTACCCAGGCCTGGAGGGTGGAGAACAGACAGCTGGCAAGATCGCTTATCAGGGGTTTCCTTTAGATTAGCACAGTGCTGGCCCAAGCTTCTGCAAGGTAAGGAATCAATTTCGGGGTTAGTGGAGACTATAAACCTTATCCTAGATCCCCTTAGGGTCAGGGAGGCTAAATCCCTCGTGGACAGAGATGTGCAAAGATCTCTCAGACATCAGATTCCCATTAGTCTATGGTGTGAGCAAACCAGGTGCTCAGTGGTATCAAATTCTGGTTTTCTTGCTTGGCATGAATGATCCTCAGTTGTTAAAGGTATGTGCAACACTGTCCAAACCCAGGTCTTACTCCTGAAGGTGGCTGTGTTCTTGGATAGATAGACTTCATTGGATGTTTTCTTCTTCTGTTGCAATTAAAGACTCCATTCTCCTGAGATACAACAGTTCTCTTAAGCCAAGCTGAGTGCTTTCATCCCACAAGATAACATGGAGCAGGGAGTATGTCTTTTGGGGGACATAGATGGGGGCCAGGCATGTTGAGGTGCAATGGTTGGGCACGTTCTGGCCTCCTGGTGACAAACCCACCTCTGAACATCTCTTCCTAACTGTAGAACTGGCTTCCAACAAGAGGTAGGCAGCTTCTTGTTTTCCTTCCTTTCACAGCAATTTCAGGGCTCTTTATGTTTGTATGGTGGGACAGAAGTGCAGCACATTCACACAGAGGGTGGTGGAACAGGTTGCCCAAGGAGGCTGTGGATGCCCCATCCCTGGAGGCATTCAAGGCCAGGCTGGATGTGGCTCTGGGCAGCATGGGCTGCTGGTTGGTGACCCTGCACATAGCAGGGGGTTGGAATGAGATGAGCACTGTGGTCCTTTTCAACCCAGGCCATTCTGTGATTCTTCGGGTAGGGGGTAGGGAAAGAACACAAACATCTCACCCTCAGCATAGCCCTGCATTAACCTGACTGCTTTGCTCCATATTCATCTTGAGCTGGGTATCACATAAAGAAAAGTGCTTTCAACCTGTCTAAATGACTCTCCCATCACTCTCTAATGGCTGTCAACTGCAGATAACCCTTCTTCACCTGTGGAAACTGGCAGCAGCACCTCAGGCTCATTTATGAGAAATTATCTCTGGTTGTGATACACGGTTCCTTTTTTTTTCTCTTTTGAACCCCTAGCTTAGCAGGGCCAGTGGGGCTGTTTTCTATGGTAATATATGACCCATCACTCCTCTCCTGCCCTTTGTCTCTCACACCTTTAATTGCACTTGTGTTTCTGAAGCATATGGAATTCATTATTCAGCAAGCAAGGTCCTTTGCAATATCAGCCTTAATTAACTGTTCCCCTCTGCATTTTCTTGCTCTTATCCTCTCCAAATCTACACACCAAGACAGGCTGATGGCCCCCCACATGCATCAGTGCCAGCCAGCGAGCCATGACCAGATAAGAAGAAATGGAATTCCTTATCTCTTTTTTTTTTTCTTCTTCTTTCTTAAAGTACATGCACACACAAACCTGGAAAAGGTCAAGGTTACTGGGATGGGAGAAGGCACTTCAAGACAACAAAACCCCCTTCTCTTTCAAGTCTCCATAGCAACTCGAAGGAGCATCATGGGATGTCAGGATGAGAGAGGCCTATTCTTTTCGTGCAACACTCTTTCCACTTCATTAGACTCTTTATCAAGTATCTCTGCTCTGGGCTGAGTATATTTTCTTGTGTCAGGGAGCAGTGCAGACGACTCAAAAGCACGCTGACCTTTTCAGTGGGACCCGGGAGTTCCTTGTGGGAGCTGCATCCTCTTCCCTTGCCTTCCTCCCCCACAGCCCCTCGCCTCCAGTTCGCATGACCTCGGTCTGCCTGGCCTTCTCATCAAAACGCCGTGGCTGGGGAGGGATGAAGGGCTTCTTTAAAAGGAGAAAGGGAGGAAAAAAAAAAGGAGAGTAGAGTATGAGAATGTCCTTCGCTGGCACTGGAGGTGTCAAGACCCTAGCTGTCAGAGCTGTGCATCTGTGGGGAAGATTAATGACTCAGCTCAGAGAAAATCCAAATAAAATAGGAGAGAATAAATGCCAAGTGACTGTGCGGAGGATGAGGGGAAGAGTGAGGAAAGAGCGAGGGAGTGTGACGGGGCAGAGGTATTCCTCAGCCTCGGAAGTGCTTTAATTCCCCGTGGAAGAACAAGTTAGCATAGGAACGCTCTTTAGATTTCACCCCATGGTCTTGAAGGGCCGTGTCTGTCTGTGTGCATCGGGGTGTGAGCAGGCCTATAAAGCGCTGCTTGTACCGAGGCACCAACGCTGTATGTTTCTATCTTTACTTCCTTGGAAAAATACCCACCGTAGAGAAGCCTTTTGTTTTAAGTTTCTCTCCACGCTAGCCCGTTTCATCCTCTAGATATCTTGAATTGCTTTGCAAATCAATGCGCTGCTTGTTCTTGAGAAACTTCAATGCCTATTTTATGCCAGGCAGTAGCATGCAGCACAGCGTGGAGGGAATAAAGGGGCTGCAACTGTGCTGTGGTTGTGGGATTGCACTTGAGCAGCAGGCCCTTCGACCGAACCTTCTTGAGATTCCAAGGCGCTGTAACTGCCATTAGTTTTTACGATGATCCTTCGGGTTTTTACTTCTTCCAGGGAGCCGTTCTGTGACAGTTTGCAGCTTAATTTGAACAGACTTCATGCTCTGAGAGCCCAGCTGAGCTTCTCACCGTAACAGCACACGGTGTGAAACTCCGTATGCTGGAAGCCGCGTGCATCGGACGAGGAGAGGGACTTGTTAGCGTGGATGACTGACAAGGCCAAAGTCATTTAACCAAGTGTTTGTAAAGAGCCTTGAACCTGGACATGCTTAGACTGTGTGCTCCGAGCTAGATGATTTACATGGGTGATTTTAGGAGGAAAAACTGTAGAAGAAAAAGCTTTGCACGTACAGTAGGAATCAGGATTATGAATATCCCAGTCCAACTGCTTCGATCCTCAGAGGAGTAATTCTGAAGTGGGAAATCCCATTAACTCATAATAGGGCTCTTAAGTAGTTCCCTATGATGAATTTGTGGCACTCTGCAAGTCTCATAATTCCCAATATACAGATGAGGAAACTGAGGTTAAGTGACTTACCCAAGGTCACGTAGGAAATCAATAACCACTCCAGCCCTCGCCAGCAGCACCTCTCACTGACTGTGAGTGACTCTGAATCAGGGAATGATCTGTGTTGAAAGGGGCCTCAAAGATCACCAAGTTCCAGCCCCTGCCGTGGGTTGATGGCCACCCACGATATTAGGCTGCCCAGGGACACATCCAGCCTGGCCTTGGGCACCTCCAGGGATGGGGCACCTGCACTTCTCTGGGCAAACTGAATGGTGATAATCGTCCCCAGTGCTGGTGGAGGAAACTTGGTGTCTGAACACAGCCCGAAAGAACGCCCCAGGGTCTCAGGTGAGGTTTGGCCATGCAGAGCTGAGTGGCTGGGACTCTCCCACCAGAGAGCAACACTGCTTTGCTGTTCCTGGCAGATGGGTGTCCTCTTGTTCTCAGGATCCTCAAATATGGATGCTCTGTGGTCTCCTGCTGTCCCAGTTTATCCCAGTGCCCTCTGCCATCTGTCACAGCACTGTTTCTTTCCCGTGGCACGGCAGGCAGCAGCCCGAATCCCACACACTCCATCTGTGTCAGGTGCTCTGGCTGTGCTCAGCAGTGTATTTCTTGTGAACTGAAGCTTATGTCTGAAAACGCAGGCAGAGCACGTCTGTGCTAGGTGTGCAGTATTGGGGTGGGATCCTCTTTTTTGTGATGGCAGGAAATTGCCTCATGCAGGACCTCTCTGCTACGGTGAGT